ATTGAAAGCTTCTGGTTTTGTTGTTGTTTTTGGTTTTTTTTTTTTTTTGCTTTCTTGTTTAGACAGAGTCTCACTCTGTCACCCAGGCTGCAGTACAATGGTGCGGTCTTGGCTCACTGCAACCTCCAACTCCCAGGTCCAAGCAATTCTTCTGCCTCAGCCTCCTAAGTAGCTAGGATTACAGGCATGTGCCACCACACCCAGCTAATTTTTGTGTTTTTTAGTGGAGACAGAGTTTCACTATGTTGGCCAGGCTGGTCTCAAACTCCTGACCTCAAGTGATGCACCCGCCTCAGCCTCCCAACGTGCTGGGATTACAGGCGTGAGCCACCACGCCCGGCCAGAAGCTTGTGTTTTTAAGTAGCACAGGAAGTTTGGGTGAAGAGCTTTGGTTCCATCAGGTGATGAAAGCCGCAGGAACAGATGTGGGGGCGTCGGTGGCGCAGGGAGAGAAGGTCACGTGGACGTGGAGCCCGCAGGGAGGCTGATCCTGCTAAGGAGTCACCAAGGGACTTGGTGCTTACCTCCTTTCTCTGCAGCATTCCGAGATGACACTCCCCAATACCGAAACCCCGTTTTCTGGATCTGAATTGTTAGAGGGTTTCAAGCCCTTACGAATCACTGGTTCCAGCTCTTGCAGTGGTTTCTATCAGGAAGCCTGAACCTTCGGGGCTGCCCCTTCTACCATCCTCCTCCAGGCCCTCTTCCTAACTTCATGTACAGAATCCTAGAATCTTTCTCTTAAAGGAGGCTTCCAGAATGGTATACATTTTTAGCCCCACAAAACCTGGACCCACCTTTTATTATATAGTTTAAACAATGCTGAGTTTTTCCATAAGTTATTGGGGTACAGGTGGTATTTGGTTACATGAATAAATTCTTTTTTTTCTTTTTCTCTTTTTCTTTTCTTTTTTTTTTTTTTTTTTTTTTTATGAGACAGTGTCGCTGTGTCGCCCAGGCTGTAGTGCAGTGGTGCAATCTCAGCTCACTGCAGCCTCCGCCTCCTGGGTTCAAGCAATTCTCCTGCCTCAGTCTCCTGAGTAGGTAGGATTACAGGTGCGCACCACCACACCCGCCTGCTTTGTATTTTTAGTAGAGATGGGGTTTCACCATGTTTGTCAGGCTGGCCTTGAACTCCTGACCTCCAGAGACCCACCCTCCTCACCCTCCCAAAGTGCTGGGATTATAGGCGTGAGCCACCACGCCCAGCCATGAGTAAGTTCTTTAGCGGTGATTTGTGAGATTTTGGTGCACCCATCACCCAAGCAGTATACACTGTACCCTGTTTGCAGTCTTTTATCCCTCACCCCCTCCCACTCTTCACCCCAAGTTCCCAAACTCCATTATATCATTCTTCCACCTTTGTGTCCTCATAGCTTAGCTTCCACATACCAGTGAGAACATACGATGTTTGGCTTTCCATTCCTAAGTTACTTCCCTTAGAATAATGGTCTCCAATCTCATTCAGGTCACTGCAAATGCTGTTAGTCCATTCTTTTTTATGGCTGTGTAGTATTCCATCATATATATGTATATGTATGTATATATGTATGCATATATGTGTGTGTATGTGTGTATATGTGTGTGTGTGTGTATATATATCTCACAGTTTCTTTATCCACTTGTTATTGATGGGCATTTGAGTTGGTTCCACGATTTTGCAATTGTGAATTGTGCTGCTATAAACATGCGTGTATGAGTATTTTCTTTTTTTTCCCCCTCTGGGGAGATACCGAGTAGTGGGATTGCTAGATCAAATGGTAGTTCTGCTTTTAGTTCTTTAAAGAATCTGCACACTGTTCTCCATAAAGGCTACGCTAGTTTACACTCCCAGCGGCAGTGTAGAAGTGTTCCCTGTTCGCCACATCCATGCCAACATCTACTGTTTTTTGATTACAGCCATTCTTGCAGGATTAAGGTGGTATCAACAATGCTGATTTTTAAAAGTGAAGAACAGCTCATCAAATGTGTGTCAGCTTGGGGTGAGATGTGAGACAGAGTCAGTCCAGCAGTTCCGGGGAGAACGTACTGACACAGCCAAAGGTTCACGAGCCGTAGGTTTGTACTCATTCTTTGGCTGGGGTGTTCAAATACAAAAGAAAATGGAATAATTGCAGTTAGCACTGTAGCTACTATGTTAAGCTCTCTGGTTTACCCCTGGGTGATTTGGCAACAACTCCTAAAATCAATCAGAGTAGAATAAAATAGTTGTGATTTTAATGCCTACCAAAAAATGAGAGTTAGCAAATTGGAACTTGAAAATCTGGACATATCCTTCACCGTCATCCCTTTTCATTTAATTCACGTTTTGCTCCTTCTCTTTTGTGATTTATGAAATGCATCAACAAACGTTTAATGCATTTTAAATAAGGTATTTAAAGTATTATCAGAACTACTTCTTTTTGTCTGTCTCCGTAACGCGTGTTTCCCAGACACTGTCAGTGCTTTTGTGCGCGGGTTTTTGCCCTAGTGGGGTGCAGGGGCTGCCTCCGCTGCGTTTTGGGAGCTGGTGTCAGTTCTCAGCTGTAGCCAAATGTTTGTCCTGGAAATCTCCAAATGAAAAGAGTCGGGGGTCACCCTGGGGTCACTCACATGTACCAGGAAGTGAAGCAAAACTAATCCAGATTTACTCCTGGAAGAATTTGTTTGCCTAAGTATTTAAAAACAGATTAGGGCTAACTCGACACTGGATCACTAGGTGCAGTGTAAACACGGGTAAAAGGTGTAAACAAGGCCTTTCCTCTGTGTTTCGGAAGCAAAAATGTCACGGGTAATGAGTTTTCTTTCTAGACTTTCGCAGAAGCTCTGAGTGATTTCTCTGTGTCGTTTGTAGCTGTGTACTCTGATTACTCCCCTGGAGAAACTTGTGAATTTTAGGAGGGGGCAATTGTGAATCAGCGCGTTATTGAAGTCTCTGTGGGTAACTGCGGTCCCTTCTTACATGTAGGCTTTTCTTTCTTTTGTCTGTCTCTTTCTTTCTCTCTCTCTCTCTCTCTTTTTCTTCTTTCTTTTCTTCCTTTGAGATGGAGTCTTACTCTGTCACCCAGGCTGGAGTGCAATGGCACAATCTCGCCTCACTGCAACCTCTGCCTTCCGGGGTCGGGCGATTCTCCTGCCTCAGCCTCCCAAGTACCTGGGATTTCAGGTGCCCACCACGCCTGGCACATTTTTGTATTTTTAGTAGAGACTGGGTTTCGCCATGTTGGCCAAGCTAGTCTCAAACTCCTGACCTCAGGCGATCTGCCCACCTCAGCCTCCCGAAGTGCTGGGATTACAGGCATGAACCATCATGCCCAGCCTCTTTTCTTCATCATCCTCGTCAAAAAGGCAGGCGGAGCCGGGCGCGGTGGCTCACGCCTGTAATCCCAGCACTTTGGGAGGCCGAGGCGGGTGGATCACGAGGTCAAGAGATCGAGACCATCCTGGTCAACATAGTGAAACCCCGTCTCTACTAAAAATACAAAAAATCAGCTGGGCATGGTGGTGTGTGCCTGTAATCCCAGCTACTCAGGAGGCTGAGGCAGGAGAATTGCCTGAACCCAGGAGGCGGAGGTTGCGGTGAGCCGAGATCGCGCCATTGCACTCCAGCCTGGGTAACAAGAAAAAACCCCCTCAAAACAAAAAAAAAAAAAAAAAAAAAAAGGCAGGCGGGGAGCACTTCCCTGGCCAGGCTCTACCCCTGGCTCCTTATAAAATTTCAACAGCACTTGTAAAATCTCACATTGTTTGTAAAACTTCTTGTCCCCCACGACCTCACCTTTCTTTCCCCCTCTAGCTGTGCAGCAGTCTTGAGTTTTCAATCTCTCTCATACTCTTTTTTTGAGAAACCAGAAACCATCATCAGTAGCCACAGAGTCCAGGAGCTGCTCGCCTGGGGTCCTTCCTTTGGGTCAACATAAACATGCCTCGCTTCCGGTTTCCTCCTGCGTTTCTTGAGCTTCTCGTGTCATCCTGACCCCTCCTCCTCCTCAGCCCTCCCCACAGATGTGGATCACGGTCCCCGTCCTCTGTAGAGGAGGCCAGCTCCGGCAGCCCCATCTCAGCCAGGTTGTGATGCTGGGGGCGGAGGCAGGCACCATCCACCCCTCCCCAGCTTCCTCCTGTCCTCTGCCTCTGTGCTCAGCTCTGGCTTCCAGGAGCTTCCTGCCAGCTTCCCAGGCCCTGGAACAATTTCCCTCAGAAAACCCCGCCGTTCTTTGTCATTTAAGGAATTCCTGACATCTGTCCCCTCCACTTAAGCCATCCCCAAGTATCTGCAGGTTCCAAAAGCTGCATCTCCCTTCTAAAGCTCCTCACTGGAGACTCAGCCCTCTCCTGCGGGAGTCTGTTGCCGTGTTTTCTGCAGCTGAAGTGGTTTGGAGACCCAGAGAGTCCACACACACCGCCTGTTTCGGAGTTTGGAGCTAAGAGCACATGGTCACCCCCAGGTGTGGGGAGCGCACTAGCCATCCCCCACCCTCTGTGACTCGAGCCAGGTGTCCTACAGTCCTGACTTACAGTCTTTCTTGCTTAAAGTGAAACTGAGCTCTCAGCCCCGGAGCCCATGCTTCCGTCGTGCGGATCCCAGGCAATAGGGTGGCTCCCCCATGCGTCGGGGTGTGTGAGCCGCTGAACCAAGGCCACAGCCTTGAGCCCTCACTGTCGAGCTTTCTTTCCAAGGACAGCTTCTACATGAAATGTGACAGAAATGGAGAGCACCAAGGCAATATATGAGCCTGAGATCAGCGGCTCTCACAGCTGGGGGCTATTAGACCCCCCTGCAGGGCTTGTTAAAATGCCCGGAGAGGTTCCGATACAGGGCATCTGGGGCGTGGCCTGAGAACCTGCATTTCTGGACTGATGCTGCTGGTGAGGATACTGTTTTGTGAAGGTGGATTAACCTCTCCCCCAGGGGACTTTGTGCCGAGTGAAGACCCTTGCTTTCTGCTATTTCACTTCCCTCTCGGTTCCCGTGTTCTCTCGCCTGATGGTGACCACACCTGTCTGGTGGCTCTTTGCAGGGAAGAGAAGGAACGGTGGATTCGTGCCAAGTACGAGCAGAAGCTCTTCCTGGCCCCACTCCCCTGCACGGAGCTGTCCCTGGGCCAGCACCTGCTGCGGGCCACCGCTGACGAGGACCTGCGGACGGCCATCCTGCTGCTGGCGCACGGCTCCCGGGACGAGGTGAACGAGACCTGTGGGGAGGGAGATGGTCGCACGGCGCTGCACCTGGCCTGCCGCAAGGGGAACGTGGTCCTGGCACAGCTCCTCATCTGGGTAGGTGGCCGGCACGCCTGGCGGAGGATGGGGCTGCAGGGGGCAGTCTGCTCTGTTCTGCTTCCGTGGGCATCTTTCTGGCAGAAGGCTGTTCTCTGTCTGCAAGTGGGAAGAGCTCCTAATGGGAAACTCAGACTGAAGTGCACGGGACCTTATTCAGAGACAGTCGGGCCTCCGTGTACAGCACTTGCTGGAGTTTCCGGAAATTGCACGTTTGGGATTGCCCCTTGTCAGGCAGGGTTGGAGGTGTCCCACTTTTTCATTTCCATCATCTTTTGGGGGAAAGGGGGTGTATTAACTGGAGGGCTCGTAGGGTTTCCCCTTTTCCAAACCTTTGGTGTTTTTATTCACTTAACCCAGAAATACTGGACCCTAAGCTTTGAGGTTTGATGTGGTAGGAGTTTGTCAAAGGGCTTCTTTTGGACCATTCTGATTAATTTCTACTGGGGAAAATTGTTCTTTACATTCCTATTGAAGCATTTGTCACAGTGTTTGAATGAGCGAAAGAGAAGGATAAAGTGATTATGCAGAGGTCCTGCCTGTGCCACGTGGGGGCTGTGTCTGAGAAGCTCACGCCCACATGGGGGCTGCCTGTGATCCCCTGGGGCTTCTGCCACCGCAGGTCCTCACCCAAGGCAGGCAGAAAGCTGCCTGCAGGGAGGCTCCCCAGGTAGGGAAAGCAGGTGTGTGCCCAGGAGTTGGGGGCAGCACCCAGTGGTGGGTCAGCCAGCAGGAGGCTCTTCTGTCTCTACCTGCAAGGCAGGATGGGTCAGCACAGCAGCAGGTTCCACAGCAGCACATGTAGAATGCTGCAGGTTTCTGCATGTTTTTGGTCTGACTTTTTTGATGGGCGCAGAGATGGGATGTACAGATCCTACGCCAGAAGCCCTCCGATGCTTCTGCTCATCAGTCAAATGTGATGTAACGCAAATAAGAGTCGTATGTAGTATGCTGGGGCTGCCACAGCAAAATACCACAGACAGGGTGCTTAAACAACAGACGTTTATTTTCTCACAGTTCTGGAGGCTGGAAGTACAAGACCAAAGGGCCGGCAGGGATGGTTTCTGCTGAGGCCTCTCCGTGGCTGGCAGACGGCCGCCTTCTCCCTGCGAGAACACAGCCTTTCCTCTGCACTCGCTCCTGGTAGATCTTTCCTTCCCTGACCACCTTGTTTTTGAGACAAAGTCTTGCTCTGTTGTCCAGGCTAGAGTGCAGTGGCACAATCATAGCCCACTGTCATCTCAAACTGCTGAGCTCTAGCAGTCCTCCCACCCCAGCCTCCCAAGTAGCTCAGACCACAGGCATGCACCCCCATGAATGATAATTTTTTAAAAAACTTTTTGTAAATGTCTTACTATATTGCCCATGGGTTTTGAACTCTTGGCTTTAAGCAATTCTCTCATCTCAGCCTCCCAAAGTGTTGGGATTACAAGTATGAGCCTCCACACCCAGCCTCTTCCTCTTCTCATCTAGATACTAACCCTATTGGGACCTCATTTAAGCTTCTGTACCACCATAAAGGCTCTATCTCCAAATACAATTCTAAAGTACTGGGTGTCAGGACTTAAACATATGAATTGTTAGTGGGAGCGGGGGACACAGTTATAAATTGCAGGCCATCTTTCCTTCCCAAATTGCACAAAAATTCCTTTGATGGGTGTTGTTCCATGCTGTTGAGTGGCCTGTAAGTCCCACACATTGTGAGTTGGCTGAAGTGGAAGTGAATTCACACTTTTTCATGAGCAAAAGTCTTAAAAATGTTGTGTACTTTAACCTGGAATTTCCCCCCTTCTAATCATCACTTACTAATCACAGACCCTGAGGAAGATTCTGTGTGAGGACATACATCAGGGACTGTTTCTTCCAGTGACAGTTTTTACCTAATGTTCAGCAGTGACAGGAGAGTTCTGAATTGGGTTCTATGGTGGAATACCATATGACTAGCATGCGTCATGCTTTTTCGGGGTGGGGAGACAGGGTCTCACTTTGTTGCCCAGCCTGGAGTGCAGCGGTGTGATCTCGGCTCACTGCAGCCTCTGCCTCCTGGACTCAAGCAATCCTCCCACCTCAGCCTCCTGAGTATCTGGGACCACAGGCACACGCCACCATGCCCAGCTGATTTTTTTTAAATGTGTTTCTTTGTAGAGACAGGGTCTCCTTGTATTGCTCAGGCTAGTCTTGAACTCCTGGGCTGAAGTAAGCTGCTGCAGCTCGTGCTGTGCCTCTGAGTCATTTTAATGATGTAAGAAAATGCAGCTGGGCGTGGTGGCTCAAGCCTGTAATCCCAGCACTTCGGGAGGCCAAGGCGGGTGGATCACGAGGTCAAGAGATCGAGACCATCCTGGTCAACATGGTGAAACCCCGTCTCTACTAAAAATACAAAAAATTAGCTGGGCATGGTGGTGTGTGCCTGTAATCCCAGCTACTCAGGAGGCTGAGGCAGGAGCATTGCCTGAACCCAGGAGGCGGAGGTTGCGGTGAGCCGAGATCGCGCCATTGCACTCCAGCCTGGGTAACGAGTGAAACTCCATCTCAAAAAAAAAAAAAAAGAAAAAAAGAAAATGCTCACAGTCCAGTGATCAGTGATCGGTAAAAAAAGTAAAAATAAAAAACAGGATACAAATTACTTGTATAGTTTTATCTCAGTTATGCATATACATTTAGATTTTTTTTAAAAAAACCGTTGGAAGGAAATACACTAATTCACAGAGGCTATCTCTGAATAGCAAGATTATGGGTGATTTTTTTTTCTTGCACTATTATTTATGTATTTTTTTATAATGAAAATTCCCTCTGAGATCAAAACGATTTTTTTTTCTTTGCGCAATTGGAAAGTCAAAATAGAAACAGCAAAACTAAAGTTATCCCAAAAATATCCTTAATATTACACGAAGGACGAGCTTTCAGTTGAAAAAAAAAAAAAAAAAAACGTTCTTTCCTTAAAATAATATGCTGGCCACGGGTTTAGGCTGCCAGCAGCGGGTTCCAGCGCCCCAGCCAGTTCTGTAGCTGGCCCCGCGGTCCCGGCACAAGCCAGGTGCAAGGGCTGAGAGAAAGCTTCCCTGCCCTCCCCTTCATCACAAGCTGTATGACACTAACGTGGGCTCTGTTGCCTCCATAGTACGGGGTGGACGTCATGGCCCGCGATGCCCACGGGAACACCGCGCTGGCCTACGCCCGGCAGGCCTCCAGCCAGGAGTGCATCGACGTGCTGCTGCAGTACGGCTGCCCCGACGAGCGCTTCGTGCTCATGGCCACCCCCAACCTGTCCAGGAGAAACAATAACCGGAACAACAGCAGCGGGAGGGTGCCCACCATCATCTGAGGGGCAGCCGTGCCCCCGCCCGCCGCACCCGGCACGCGGCAGCCTCACCACACACTCGCTCGGAAGTCGCAGCACGTGAGTCCCGTCGCATCCCCTCACTCTTCCTGGTGGTCGCCTCCTCCCACCCACCCACCCACCCTCACCCCAGACAAAATCACAAAACCTGGACATCCTGGAGGGGCAAAGAGGCGGCCGGGAGACTGCAGAAGAAGTGGCTCCTTTGCATAAACTCCCCTAAACCACAAACAGGAGAGGGTGTCGGGCCCAGCTCTTTGATGATAGCACACGGCGCAGGACCCTTGTCCTGGTGGCACAAGAGACGGGGACGCGAGGGGGAGGGGAGGCGAGGAACAAGGAGAAGGGGCAACTTTCCTTAACTGGCAGTTAAGCACATGAGTACATTTCACCTCTACCAAACGGAACACTTGGATTCCATCTCTTCTCTGAGGAGCTTGACGGCATAAATCAGAAGCAAGCACAGAGTTTGTCAGGTTTGAAGCCCCTATGATGGTATGTGTCAAATCAGTTGTAGCTAATCTGTCCAGGGAGAATACTGGCTTCATTACACTTGTATAGTTGAGTTCTTCCAGCATTACTGCTGTTTAATAGAACATGATTAGTCATCACCGAGAAGAAAGCATATTAGCCGAGGAGGTAGTTACGCGGCACGCTCCGGTGATTGCCACGATGTGATTGCAATACTCTTAGAAGCATCATATTATCCCAGACATGTTCTTTCAAGCCCTTGGAGCCCTCCTTTCTAAATTCACTGTCATAATTTAGTATCTGTTTAATTTTTCAGTCCAAAGAGAGGAAATCAGTCGCTGAGTATTATTTGATGGCAGTCTCTTTGGTGCAAAAACAAAATGGGAAAAATAAATAAGAATAACTCAGAAATTCAAAAGGAAATCACAAATTCAGCAAATAATAGCGTTTCGAGTATATTTCGTAAACTAAGTAAATACACAAAATACACATGGTTATTTTTTCCGACCGTAAGAGAGATTTTATGTCCTTTTGCCGAGGTGGATGTGTTCGTCTCAGGCCCTCCTGGGCCGCATTGCCCAAGTCACACAGGCTTCTGTATTATGTATTTAGATCAGATGTGTGAAAATATATTTGAATAAAAGAAGTTCATAAATATGCATTGATTTTTGTACAGACAAATGGCACCTCTCTTAATTTATAAATTGAACTGGATGTGAACTAATAATGTGCAACTAGTTGAGATAAGAGAGTTACAGATCATTGTACATGGAAAATATTCCCAGCAGTAAACACTTCCATTAATGTGATCTACAGCTTTTAAAAAGGAACATCTCAGAATAAGATGGTGGTACAATTTACTTATTAAAATTGAGAAACAGGGAAAAAAAGACACACTGAAGTATATTAGAAAGGGAAAAGAAGGAATGTGATTTCTCGTGATTGAAAGCATGATTTAGATCAGATACGGCTTTTGCTAACCAAGACCAAGGGGCTCTGGTGGACAGGGTGGTTTTCTGAATGCCAGACCGAGGTGCCTTACGCAGGCAGCTGCCGATGGTTCTGTGGACAGACTGGCTCCTGAGAACCAGACGACCTTGACCTGGCAGCCCGGCCCTCTGTGCGAGGACCCGGCCGCTTCCAAAGTCAGCTGCCTTCAGTGGTGGTCATCAGACGTAGTCAGCCAAACCATGGCATCCCCCAGGTTAAAAAGAAAACGGGGTGGCTTTGCCCAGAGCCCGTTGGCAGTATGACAGTGTGGAGAAGGGTTGTCACGATGGAAGACTAGGACACTGGACTCACATAGCACAGAAACGCAAAGCCACGCGCGCTGGCAGCCCCCGGGGTGTTCCTTGCTCTCGTATATTAAACCTTATGTTTTATAAGAGTTTTTCCTCTTCTTTCACTTTTTAAAAAAATTAAAGTAGGTGGGGAAAAAATAAAGCTTTACACAGAATTTATATGTGGGTAAGTGTTTCATGGGAATTTCTAATCTTAGCAAAGCTAAGTGGAGATTACTCGTGTCCAAAAGTCTAACAGGTCCAGAAGCCACACGTCTGAGAACCTTGACGACAGTCCCATCGTCCTGCCACTCGGCTTTTCAGTCTGCGTTTCATCACTGTGTCGCTATTGTCAATGTGAATAGAGAAGAAAGGTCATTGCCTATTTTTGAAGAACGCGTTCGTGTTCTAATCTGCTAGACACATTCGCCTCCACACAGCCTTTACCGTAGACTCTGTAGTGAACACAGATCTAGTATAAATGAAATTCTTAAATTATTTCATTGTAGTCAATCCCCACTATAGGAATGCTTTATCATAGTGAAGCCTTCTTTTGAGAAGAAACGGAATTCCTTGTGGCTTATCTTCGGGATGTATATGAGTGTGTACATATTATTCTATGTGTTTATAATATCATATTTTCCCAAATGACTTCTTGTTTCACTTTGCCTTCCACAACCTGAATGCTAGATTGGTTTTTTTCCCTTCCCGGCCCTCAGCCGGGCCCACATGGGCTGCCATGACCCCTCCTTAGAAAACACAGCCCCTCCCCCGCCACTCCCAATGACATCCATCTGCTCCACGCAGCGGCCGCTTTCTAGGGCCCAAGTTTTGGTAGCAGAAGGAAAGGCAGTTTCGAGGGCCTTTCCAAATAAAGAAGACGGGTGGCTAATCTGTTCGTATTTCAGTGCCTAACCAGAAGTCCTTCCTTTGCTGACCACACTCGGTTCCCACGTTCAAGCTAATTATCACCGAGGCTGGGAGAGGCAAGGACCTTGGGCGGAGTTAGGAACAACTCGCCTGAGAAGGGGGTCGAGTTTCCTTGTTCATTTCCATGTTCAGTTCTGTGGGGTGACAATGACAGGAGATCACCAGTGCAGGGTCCACCTAACGTTTCCTGTGCAGAATAAAAATTCCCCCTTGATGAGAAGCAGCCAGCCGGGGGAGGCACTGGAGCAGCCCGTGTAACCCCATGGGGAGCTGGACACATCTGCTCCCCCCCACTCAGCTTCTTGGAGACTGAACTGCAGTGGGGGAACATGTGACGCAGACCCAGCTGTGGCAGGAAGCCTGCGGGTCCAGGACACGGTGATTCTGGCCCAGGTGCTAGGGTGGGCGGATGGTTTGCCTAACTAACCCGTCGCTCCAGTCCTGGTCCCTGGTTCGTCTGTTTCATCCCAGGAGGGTGAGCAAGTGACAAGTTCCTGAGTCATCGGCCCCAAAACCAGGTGCACTGTCCTGTCTCCCAAGTGTGTTCACGATGTATATGCGTTGGAAAAGCTGGTGAAGGCGGTGGGTTGCTTGCCATTCGAGGGGTTATTAGATGTAGAAGCGGGCAGGACCTTACTGAATTGCATTTCCTTCAGGGACCCCAGTCCACAGGCCAGTTCTGGGTAGTGGCTTTTCAGCACAAGAGCCTTGCATGGAAGCTCCCTCTTCTGAGATTTGGCCCGGCCTGAAGAGGGCTGCACGGTTCCAGCCTCTGTCATCCAACGTAGATACCACTCTTCAGGTTTTTGTGACATCTGCACATTTGGGGCCATTCCCTATGTCTGCATAGGAGCTGTCTCTGACCTCACTAGGGAGAAACATGGTCTGATGAGAAAGACAGACCCCTAGGCTCACCCGGCGCTGCCATCCCTCCAGCTTCCTGGGCTCTTTTTCCTCATCTGTGAAACTCGCAGGGTGCATTGAGGTTTCGAACCAGTGTGATAAATGTCAGCCTCACACCTGGCCCAGGGAAGGATGCCGGGAAAACAGGAGCACTTGTTAAGAACAGAAACGCTGATGGGACCAAAGCCAGAGCACATGCCAGGAAACCCGCCTGCTGGTGACGCTGGCCCCCAGCCTGCATCCCGGGAAGGCCATGATGGGCACATGTGCTAACTGCCACCAGCAGAGCCTGGGGCCTCCTCTCTCAGCCTGCCAGTGCCCTGCCCTGGGCCTCCACATGTGGAGAACAGCATCAGAGGGTCGGGGAGGCACCCAGGAGGAGGCCCTTTCTCCCCGAGAGCCCCTCCAGAACCTGCCCACTTTTCTCAACATGTGTCTTTTGCTTTGTAGTCTGAGGTTGATTTTCTGGAGGCGAAGAAGGGGCTGAGTTCTGCCCTCGTGCTGTTTGCGGGGGCTGTGTCAGGGCCAAAGCACCTCTTCCGACTCCCCCACAGACTGTTGTGGTGTTAGTGTGGACAGCATCCCTCCCTTCAGATGCCATCTTCCCGTCGCCATGAGCTGCTGTGACTCATGCGTGCATTGGGCCTCGCTTGGCGTTCCCCGCTCCCATCTGAAATTGGAGCTTGCTGGAGGGCAACCCGGGCCGGCCCGGCCATGCATGGCTACAGGCCCTGCCCTCTCTCCCCCTCCCCAGCCTCCCAGTGTGTCCCGTGCCCGAACTTGGTGGGCTCATCTTACCCCACGAGAGTGACCTGCTCAACCTACAGCCTCTGCAGCAGTAGGTGCTGTGGGTCCCCATGCCGCCCAGGACTCCATCTCTCCCCCCCTGCATTTAGGTTGTTCTGGAAATGAGGGGAAATTCACGCTCCTGCTGCGGCAGCTGGGAAGCCTGGCAACTACGTAACTTCTCCTGAGATGGGTATGATCAGGCCTCAGCAACTACTCAGGAGGCAAAGGTGTTTGGAAAGCAAACCCTGCACCCAAATGGGCCACTTCTCCCCGCATGGCATCCGCTCTGCTTCCATCCCTCACCCCCCCAAACACGGTTGTGGAGACTTTTCTAGAACGTGGCGGGGTTGTATTTATGGCCTTCAAGCAAACAAATTGAAAAGCAGTCAGGAAGGAGTTCAGATAGAAAAGTGCTGGAGACACCTCTTTCCTTCAAAGGAAATATCATTTATTTCCAGCCGCCGCCGCGGACAGGGCTTTCACGTGTTGTGAAGTCACATCTTGAATGATCGTCACCCCCATCCTTCCCCAAAAAGCTAAATAAGGGCCTTTGGCTTCAAGGCGTGCATTTCCCACCTTCCGTGGTTCACGCTGGGATTCCTGAGTGGCCTTCTTCAGAGAGCCCTTACAGTCGTGTGTCTTTAATGCCATCCCGTCCTGCCAGGCCAGGCCAGCACGCCCAGGCGTGGCACCGTCCACAGTGAGTGGGGCCGGGAGACCTCCCTGCCCTGCCCAGCCCAATGGGCAGCTCTGCCTCGGCCCTGTGTGTCCCATGGGGATGGGTCCTCTGTCATTTAACCATGAACATTCCAACAAAATGTCAGCTTTCCTCCCATGATGAGGGAGAGAGAAGGCGCGCAGGTGTATCTCCTTGGAGTGGCTGGATCATAAAGAAACAGTCCTCAAATGGGTACTTCCAACACAGGTACAGAGAGACGGTGATTGCTGGCCCCTGGGGTGCTGCGCTGTGATTAGAGAGAATTGGCCAGTGCCTGTCTCTGATTAGACAGGAACCCCTATGGCAGACTCCTCGCCTCTCCATAAAGAAAGAAGTATTTACTTAGATATTACTGTTTCAAAACACAAACTTTTTTTCCCTTAGAGAGAAGTACTGCCCTTAAATAGATGATTGAAATATTAATACCCCCCCATTTAATCAGTATGTCTGCGACTTTCTTCAGATCACATGTGTGCGTCGGCAGGTGATTCTGGAAAGGGATTCTGTGAAACCGACAAGTCTTTTTTAAATCTGTGAGTTGTATGAGAAACTATTTAGGTTCACCAGCATAGTAAACACCGTCCCCCCCCCACCCCAGAGCAGCGGTAAGCAAACGTAAATCTGAAGACCCCTCCTTCCTGTCTTTCTCTATGAGGTTCTGGTTTTGGTGTAACATGGCAGCACTTGGTTTGAGGTTTTGGCCTGTTGGGTGAAACTGTTCTTGGCTGAGGCTCTGGAAGCCCCAGAGCTCAGGCCCATGGGCGCTGGGTGAGACCAGCGGGCAGCTGTGGCATCCGGCCTTGGGACACCCAGGCTAGGCAGCTGTGCCATGTGCCCAAAACAGGATGCCCTCGTGAATGTGAAAGAGGCTGGCTCAGGGCTTGTTTTTCATTTTGGCCTGGCACGGGGCATTTCGTTTTGGCCTGGCACAGGGCATCTGTACAGAGCACCCCCCCCCGACCTGAGGATGGTGAAGCCATATGATAAGACACTCCTTGTCGAAGTCCACGTCGGACTGGTCTAGAATGTGCCGTGGGGAGGGGGGGGGGGACTCCATGACCTTTGTCTTCAGATGCAGGTGAAAGAAAGGAACCAAACGGGGCGTGAGTGCATAGGGGACTCTTCCCGCTGGAACAAACCCCCATCACACACCAGCTGTTCGGAACAGCTGCCCCTAAATGAGATTAAACCCTCGTCTCCCTGGTGCTGAGTGGTCCACACTGGCCCAGGAAGCTAATGTCTGAGCTGCTTGGGGAGCTGTGGCAAACAGAACACACTGGAAGCACACTCGGTCAGCAGCTGGGCATGAGGAGGGCAGGGGCCTCAGCACTTGAGGAAGGACTATCCACCGCATGGAATCCTGATGGGCCTTGCGCAGACACTGGCAGGCAGCTCAGCCCCCCGCCCAGCACCATGGCCCTGGGCTGTCCCCTGACATTCCTGGAGGTGCCTGGGAAAATGCATGTCCTGCCTGGGCTCTCAGGGTGGGAGAACAGGGAAGGCTCCAAGGGCATCGTGAGCCAGGGCCGGTCGGGGGAGCGGGTCACACGCATCACCCGGGCTGGCACATGAGGGACCTCGCCCAACCCCAGGGGTCCAAGCAGGGTCTCAGCCCAGCTGTTCTGAGGGTACACAGGTGACTGGAGGGGGTGGGCACTGGCATAGTGGATGGCAGAGTGCATTTAGAAGCTGCTTCGTGGCATTAAGAATGGGGAGAGGACCAGCACCGTCATGTTAGAAAAAATTCCTTCTTGCAAACTTGAAAAGCATCAGTTTCCCTCCTGAGTTGGTTTTTGTGTCTAGAATACATCTAATTCTCCAGACTGCAGCCGTCCCAGCCCTGAGCACCTGAGCGCTGGGGAGGCCCTTGTGGGGCTCAGCCTGGAGAGGGGCGGGTGGATCCAGTCCCAGGGCCAGGTCTCCCGCCCTGGCTCTTCCCTTCTGCCAGCTTGGAATTCGGTCCTCATCTTGCCACGGGGGTGTGTTTCCTAAAGGGGAGCCGGAGCAGGTCAAAGGTGACAACCGAGATGCACTTCTAGGCAGGGGCGAGGCCAACCCAGCCTGCAGCCGGCTTTCTGTTTCTGTAAATAGTGTATAGAGATGGAAGGCAGCGTGGGTTTATCCACAGATGGTTTTATTTTATTTTATTTTTTTTGGTTGTTTTCTATTACCTCATTCAGCAACTTTATGTTTCACAATGACTCGATGATGCTTTATTTATATTGTTTGTACTGTAATTAAACCATTGACAGACATTTCATTTTGCTTGTTATTTCATATGATCTTGTTTTGATTAAATATGTCAGTTTGTATTTTCCTGCCTTGGGATTATTTTGTGTCCACTGTACAGTATTCTAAGGGAAAAAGATGTGTAAAGTAACAGAGAGGCGGCTATGGGGTAGAGGCCTCTTTCTAATAAAGAAATGAAAATATGTCTACGCTGCTCCTGTGGAGTTTTTTTCTTTTCTTTTTTTTTTTTTGGTGGTGGTAGTGGTGTTGGTCATTTGTCACAACTAATTGTGTTTCTAAGCCCAGGTAGGGTAAATCAGAGAGGAAATGGCTCTGTCTGCTGCCAGGAGGGATTGCCCCAGGCCCCATGGAATCAGCACACGCTTTGGTAGTTGGAATGAGGAAAGAGATCGGGAGTGTGTCTTCCGACTTCTTCCTTCACAAGGACAGAAACTCCATGATGGTGTTCTTTCCCCAGCCAGGGTTGGCTGGGCTCAGAAGTTCCAGATTCCTCTGCTGTATCTTTGCCCTGAGCCACACTGCCCCAGGAGTGTTGTGAGAACTATTCCCAGCACGTGGCTAGCAGTAAACCCATCCCAGGACTCTACTAACAATACCGTTCGCATTAATATTACTGTAGCTTTTGCATACAAAATACATTAAATCTTCCCACCCCCCAAAAAAAAAATTCAGAAAACTATAAAGAAGGCAAAACTCATCTAAGATGCCACCACTAGCTGGGCATGGTGGCTCATGCCTGTAACCCCAGCACTTTGGGGGACCGAGACGGGTAGATCACCTGAGGTCAGGAGTTCAAGACCAGCCTGGCCAACGTGGTGAAATCCCGTTTCTACTAAAAATACAAAAATAAGCTGGGTGTGGTGGTGCATGCCTGTACTCCCAGCTACTCAGGAGGCTGACGCAGGAGAATCGCTTGAACCCAGGAGGTGGAGGTTTTGCAGCGAGCTGAGACCATGCCACTGCACCCCAGTCTGGGTGACAGAGCAAGACTCCATCTCAAAACAAACAAAAAAAATGCCACCACTGATTTTGGGAATGCCTTCCGGAGACTCCTCTCTGCAGACACAGTGGTGTCCTCTTCCCCTACTCTTCCATTCAAGAAATAGAGAACCTCATGATCTCATGACACATTAGTGACATTTTCTGTTGAAATTTTCCCATAGCATGGGAGCCCACAGTGCCATGAAATGCCTCCTGGATGGTCCCAACACGGCAGCCCCTCACCCAGCACACAGACCTGGTCACCTGCAGTCACAGGACACCCACAGGCCTCATGCACAAGGGTACCTGGCTGGGTTGAGCCCAGAAGTTGCAGGCCAGCCTAGGCAACATGGCTAATTCCTATTTCTATTAAAAACACAAAAAATAAGCCGGGCGTGCTGGCACACCCCTGCCATCCCAGCTACTGGGGAGGCCGAGGTGGGAGGATTGCTTGAGTGCAGGAGGTGGAAGCTGCAGTGAGCCGAGATCATGCCCCTGTACTTCAGCCTGCTTGACAAAGTGAGACCCTGTCTCAAAAAAGAAAAAAAAAAATGCTTATCTATTGAATTTAGTGACATTTACAAAACAGTAGCTTAAATAAATGAAGGGTTTATTTTTCCTCCCAAAAGAAGCCTGGAGGGAGGCGAGCCTGGATTAGCCAACAGCTGCAGAGTCTGCTGGGCCCAGCCTCCTCCTGGCCATCTGGTTAACCGTGGCTCCTGGGTGCTGGTTACCTCTGGGCACCCCCAAGAGGTGCACCTCCAGCATCTGCATTCCAGTGAGAAGAAGGCAAGGGAAGAGGCAGCTGGGTCCGTTCCTCTTAATCAGCTTCCCCAGAAGCCGCCCACAATACCTCCACTTACGCACTACTGACCAGACTGGGTGGGGTCCCTCAGGGCTGCAAGGGATGCTTGGAAATGGGGGTGTGATGTTGAAGGATGGGAGTTTTGAAAAGGCGGCTCACTTCCCTGCCCTGCCGCCCTCTTGGTTCCCAACATTCACAAGCACCCTTTGGTCAACACACAGAACACCCTCCCCAAGAGAGACGCCGGGGGCCAGGCTGCCCCTGCCCTTGCTGCTGCTCAGTGGCTCCTCCTCTGTCCATAGCACTGTCCACACCCACCTTCCTTTCAGGGTGTAAGTCAACCTCAGAATATCTGCCACCCTCCTAGGAGATCTCGGGGCCCCAGGGATGGGAAGCTGAATCACCTCCCCAGACCAAGGTACTTAAGCCAAGTGCTGTGGGAAGCTCTTAGCCAGGTCACAAAAGCAAGTCTGAATGTTTAGATTTTATAGCCAAGACTTTTGTGATCACACACAGTGCTGGCAAGGCCACGGTAAGACGAACCCAAACACGCTGTTGGTGGAAATGGCGCTTCTGCAAAGCCATATGGAATCGTGCACAAAGACTCTCAAAATCTTCCCTCGTGACCCAGGAGTCCAGAACCTGGACCACACCTTCATCACAACAGAGATTCAATACGTGTTTGTTGACTACATGAGTGGATTCAATGCCTAGGAATCTGGCCAGGGAATAATGGGAAGACTTTGACATTGGCCTAAAAATGTTCATGTCTATGGTATTTAGAGTAACGGAATTTTGGAGGCAAGGTCAAAGCCCAACAAGGGGAGAGAAGTAATCATGGTATCTATAAAGGGGAAGATGATTTAGTCATTTCAAACAGTGTTTATCACATGGGGAAATAACATAAATAAAAAATCAGGATAGGCTGGGCACAGTGGCTCACACCTGCAATCCCTGCACTTTGGGAGGCCGAGGCGGGCAGATCACAAGGTCAAGAGATCGAGATCATCATGGCCAACACGGTGAAATCCTGTCTCTACTAAAAATACAAAAAATTAGCTGGGCATGATGGTGTGCGCCTGTAGTCCCAGCTACTTGGGAGGCTGAGGCTGGAGAATTGCTTGAACCCAGGAGGCAGAGGTTGCAGTGAGTCAAGATTGCACCACTGCACTCCAGCCTGGCGCCTGGCGACAGAGCGAGTGTGTCTCAAAAAAAAAAATTAGGATAAAAGTATTTATAGGAGTGATCTCTATTAAAGATATTTTTATATCCAGGAAAAAAATACCCAAAACATTGACAGTACTGTCTTTGGGAAATTCTAGGTGGTTTTGATTTCCTTCTCCATGCTTTACTGCTTCTGTTTTCTCCATTAGCATGTACAGGTTGGACATCTCGAATCTGAAACCCAAAATACTCCAAAATCCAAAACCTTTTGAGCACCAGCATCATGCCGTAAGTAGAAAATTCCACACTTGACCTCACGTGACAGGCTGCAGTCAAAACTCGGTTTGGGCCAGGTGCAGTGGCTCACACCTGTAATCCTAGCACTTTGGGAGGCCAAGGCAGGCAGATCACAAGGTCAGGAGTTCAAGACCAACCTGACCAGCATGGTGAAACCCTGTCTCTACTAAAAATACAAAAATTAGTCGGGCATGGTGGCACGAACCTGTAGTCCCAGCTACTCAGGAGGCTGAGGCAGGAGAATCGCTTGAACCCAGGAGGCAGAGATTGCAGTGAGCCGAGATTGTGCCACTGCACTCCAGCCTGGATGACAGAGCAAGAATCCATCTCAAAAACAAAAAAAAAAAAAAAAAAAGAAACTTGGTTTCATGCACAAAATATTGAAAATATTGCATACAATTGCCGTCAGGCTATGTGTCCAAGGTATGTGTGAAACAAATGAATTTTGTATTTAGATTTGGGTCCTCTCCAAGATACCTCATTGCAAATACTACAAAATCTGAAAAAATTCAAAAGCCAGATCACTTCTGGTCCCAAGCATTTTGGATAAACAATACTTAACCTGTATTGTAAAAAGTTACATTGAGGTATGTCTTGAAGCTCACAGTTTGCCACAGACTTTAAAGTGTTTGGGTGTTTTAATTAATAAATTGTTCACTCATGCTGACATAGGAGAAACCATTGGTTAACTACCTGGATCTTGAAAACAAATTGATTATAAGTGACCAAGCAGCCCAGGCACCATGGGTCACACCTGTAATCCCAGCACTCTAGGAGGCTGAGGTGGGAGAATTGCTTGAGGCTAGGAGTTCAAGATCAGCCTGTGCAACATAGCAAGACCTCGTCGCTACAAAAAAAAAATTTAATTACCCAGGCATGGCGTCATACACCTGTAGTCAGCTACTCAGGAGGCCGAGGTGGGAGAATCACTTGAGCCCAGGAGTTTGAGGCTGCAGTGAGCTATATGATTGCACCACAGCACTCCAGCCTGGGCAACAGAGCCGGACCCTGTCTCTAATAAATAAATAATATATAAAATAAAAATTAGGAAGCATTGTGATAAGGAGCAAACCAAACTGTAAGTTACAAATATGAAGAAATAAAGTTCAACTGACTCCTGACCACCACCTCCAAACACAGGTGGGAACCTTCCAGAAGGCCAGGCCTGCCTCCTGCCGCCCTCCCAGCCCCTTCTTCTTCCACCAGGGAACCTTGTTGGTTCCTGAGTTTACTCCTCTCCCCAACTCTTGTCCTCCCGGGGATCTGATCGTGCTCTTCACCTTCTCCTCCACCTGGGAAGGCCCGGCTCTCTGTGGCTTCTTCCTTCTCATCTCCGGGGTCTCCAATGAACGGTCCCTTCGTCAAAGAGGCCTCCACACCTGGCCCCCAGCTCTGTCAGGCCTCCCTGCTCTTGCTTGGCCGTCTCCCCTCCACGGTGCTCACCACAGGCCTTTCCTTGTGGCATCATTCACCCCCCTCCCGTACCTTCCCTGAGCTCCAAGGCCATGAGTCAGTGTCAGTTACACCCAGGACCCAGGCTTCAGCCCGAGCATCCACTGACTCAACCAGTGAATGAACAAAGGAACAAGCTCTGGGGTGCCCATGACCTTGCCCTCCTTGGAACACCTGAGTGTCCAGTGTCCAGTTGGAGCAGCCATTTTCTTTGGGTCTTTCTACCTGTCAGGAAACCAAACCTCTTTATAACTGTGACAGGACCGAGGACAAAACATGGGCTGGGGACGTGCACTCAAGGGATGCTCCTTCCAAATTCCAGCCAGGCCCACCCTGTTCCGCTGGAAGGAAGGGCCAGGCTCGCTCATCCCTCCCTCCTCTGCTGCCCATGATACTTGGGTAGAACCTGAGCCATGGCCTGTGCCCCAGGGACCAGGTCCCTTGATGACCTGCGGGTTCTCCCCCAGCCTGGGCTCACACAGGGCTC